AGTCAATTTCTTAAAAAAAAAAATCATTTAAATTAAATCACAACTTAAAAAAAATTCAAACTTCACTCTTTGAAATTAAAGCCTCCGATATATAGACACAGCTTCGATTGGATAGTAATGCTAAAATTTAGAAATTTACGATACAATTATTGTACAAAATTTTTGTGTGGCAATGGACGGCTTGGACTAACACTATTATTATTATTATTATTATTATAAAGGTACATCTGTGAGTCGACCAGTGGAGTTGAGCCTCTGGACCAGATCTAATTGGTGGATCGGGACCCGCGATTCTGGCTTCACGGCGCCTAGTGTGGTGGTCTTTGCTAGACAGTAGACCGTCGTCTTTGTTCTTTCCAAAAGAAGGAGAACGTGGATTAATACTTAATACTAGGATGACAAACGGAGCCAATATCAATTGATATTCGTATTTAAAGTTAGTTTAATTTTTATTTTATTTGAATTCGTTTAATTATTATCACTATTTGAATTATATTTAATTAAATAAATAATATTGACTAAAGATTTGAATTCGGTAAAATATTTATTTATTTAAATTTTTTATTAAAATATAAAATAAATAAAATTAAAATTAAAGTTTATTTTTAATTAATAACAAATAAAATTTGTTTATCAAAGTTCGAACCTTTCTAAAAGCATAAAATTTTTTTTATATATTTTACATATATAAACAAATAATAAATTCAAATATTTGATACTATTTATTAAAAAACTTAAACTAATTCAAATATTGGATAATAAAAGAGCACTATTCAAAACTTATTATAATCCATCACAAATAGTATTTTTATTATCTAAATCTATTAATTATCTATTTATAAGTATTTAAATCCAACGTAATAGAATGGAATAACGTCATGTATCTATTTATTTATTATTCATTGTTATCCTTAGTTAATATAATATGCAATTTAAATAATTACGATTATCACTATCTCTCATCAAATTTTCTTAAACAAAATAAAAAATATTACATTCTAACATGAAAGAAATAATAAATTGAATTTTGAAATATTGAAGAAATTTATAATCATGTATTTTAGAATGAACATTTAGTCTTGCTATACATTGGTTCATTAGATGAGTTTTTTTTTTTTTTTTGAATTTATCTCATATTATGAACTAACACAATCAATTAAATTGGATTTAGGTCAATTAACATCAAATTATGAATAATTATAGTCATATTATATTATGATATATCCAATCACATAATATGATTTTAGTTAAGTATGATATTGATTTAATTTAGTATCTAAACTCATAAAAAATGAGTTAATTTGGATTAACATGTTAGAAAAAAATTCTTACTTTTACTTCTATATATGTATATGAGGTCGACACATTAAATTTTATATATTTAGTTTGAAAAACAAAAAGCAATTCCCTTTTTTTTATATTGTACAGGCCATCGATTCAAGTTCGAAAGATGGAATTAGGAAGTACAAGATAATGGAATCAATTCTATCAATTTAGATTTAGCGAAATTAAGCTTTCACTTGCATTCAAATCAATATTGTTTTAATTATAAATTGTGTTAATGACTCAATGAACTTTCAACCTAATACAACATTTTTTACATCACATTGACCTTGCATTTATCATAATCAATGGTATTTAATATCTTTTCTAATTGAGAGAATGAGACTTTTGTTTTGTCGATATTCAAATCTAACTTTTTGGGTACAATAATACACTTACGTATCACTAAGTTAAAAAGGTTCAAGTGTAATGAATTCCAGTTTTCAAATTTCAAAATTCTAAACTATTACTAGTAAAATATAGAATTGCATATGAGATCTAGATACGTTTATGGATTGAACCAAGATCATTTTTTTTTTTTTTGAAAATTCTGTCTAAAACCTGATTTGATTTGAAAGATAATTTTTTTAATGTATTAAAATTCATTAAATCAACTATCAATTATTTTATTTAATATAAAATATTATTATAAATGATAACTTGCTAACTTTAAAGAGTGTCTTAAAGGCGATGCTCATTAACAAAATCCATAAATAAAGCTCAAATTAGCAAACTAAACGTTCCAAAAATTAATGGTACTATCGCTATGTTTCACAAACTATATTTTAATATTGGCATTGTTTAGGCTATTAATGACGCCGGCAGCTCTGATTATTTAACACAATCAGGGTGGATCAAAAATAATCAAGGGGCGTGGAAAAAGCTCATGGGATTGGTTGGCTCTGACCCACTCGATGAATTAGGAATCACTTCGAGTCAGAGACACGGCACACACACCTGATACATATGTTTTTTTTTTCTTTTAAGTGCATTGACGCCAGTAATTAGTATTTGATTAAGACACACGTCCACTCGCCCAATTGGTGTATTATTTAAAGAAAAACACAAGATTTGCTCCTTATTCAATGTTTCGTTTAGAGTAAGTAATTGAGAATACAAAGTAACTTTCACTAAAAGTTTTTGTAGCGAAGGTAGTAAGTAAAGCTCTTTTGCTGGTTATTGAGCCGTTGGTTCTTGATTCTGAGCAATGTAATTTGTGTCACATACCCAAAAGGTCAAACCCTATTTCCCAAGCCCTTGGATGATGAATTAATTTACTAATACCTCTCGAAAACCTCATCTTGTTAAGGAATCAAATTGACACTCCAAATCATGTCTAAACCTTTAATTATTTTATTGGTCAGATATAAGAATATTAAAAAAAAAAGAGCTCTACTTTTGAATTATGGTGTTTTTTTTATTCAAGAAAAAAAATTTTAATCCTGCTCTTTGAGTAGAGATTATGTATTAATTATTAAATTAGATATTCTAAGCGTCTGAATTATCGTGTTTTAATTATCAATAGTACATAATATATTTGTTATTATCATTCCCTCATTTATCGTTGATATATAGATGACACAAAATGCAAGAGCTGCCTTACAATCCCTTTGGATCCTTCTCTTATATGGATTACAATCTCTTTTGCAAAAAAATACATGGACTGCGGTGTTTTCAACTTATTTCGTGCTACTATTATTTTAGTATCTAGAAATGCATACACAGCAACAAACAGAAATAAAATAAAAGCAAATGTATTGGTTTGCATGTATGAATGTGGTTAAAGATATAAAGAGTATCAAGTGGTTTATGTTTACAAGAGAGGAAAAAATATTCCACAGAAAGCATTAGGCATTATTCTATAGCTTTATTTCTCTTTCCCAATTGGTCAATTTGATCGAACCATTATATATATATATATATATATATATATATTCCCACTTGGTTCTGCATGATTTTATGTAAATTTTATAATTCAGTTTAAAAATTAAAGATTGTTCTACAACCATGCTTAACTTATATATCAGACTAGTATAGATCTCCTGTTACGCATTTGTGTCAATCTATTTGCATAAATATGTTCAAATAGAGGGAATAAAATCAAGAAATACAAGAGGCATTTTGAATATAAATATGTAATCAACAAAAGTAAAGCAAAGATATTTTGTTCAAAAAGGAAAAACGATTTTTTTTTTTTTTGGTAGATGGAAAATGGATAACGTAACGAGGGATTCATCACAGTGAAAAGTGAAACATGTAATGCTTTTAATTTTAAATACTATGTATGGTGTGGGTGTGTTTGAAAAAGAATTTTAAAACAATGCAAATATACTTGAACATGAGAAAAATTATACTCATTAAAATTTAAAATTTAATTTGATTGATTTAAGTAATATTTTTAAAAATATCATCTAATAGGTATAAAATTTAAAAATTAACATCTATAATTTTTTAAATTTTAAATTACAATATTTTTTTATATATATAAATTATACTTAATTATATTTTTTACGTATATAAACACATACACATACGAGCACATGTATAGCTCAAAAAGACAAAATGATAACCATAAAATCTCTTTTAATATCTTAGAAAATTATGAGCATCGAAAGCAAACAGGATACATGTACTGTTAGATAAACTAGTTGACCTAAAAGTTTAAATTTTTACAATTCTTGTCACTATTAAAGTTTGGGAAAAAAAACAAAAATGAATGAGCTCATCTATTTTAAAGAATAGCTTATCTTTTGTAATTAATAGATAAAAAAGGACTAAATAGGAAAGTGGTCCTAATGGGATTGGTTCCAATGGGAACTTCATTGGAAAGTATAACTCGTATATTTTATAATAGAAAAAACATAATTTAAAAAAATTATTAATATTAAAATTTTAAACTTAAAATATAATAAATATAATTTTTTTTAAATAATTACACGAATATTTTCAAATTTTCACCCATCCGCGTTGATTCCTTTCATTTCCCGTTATAATTCTTTCTTTTTAAAAGAATTAGAGAAGAGAAATCTAGCGGAGTAGATTTTCTGCAAATCACATGGCGGAAGTTAAAATCAGAAAACAATGTGGAGCAACCAGATGGGCACACGTGACAAAAAAAAGGTTTGTGGGGACAATTTCTAATTCATTTGAGCGGTCCCACATTCACTATCCCCGAATCAATCAAAACGACTACCTCTCCTATATTCCAAATGAATCTCTTTCCTTTCTTTTTCTTTTCTTCCTAGGGTTTATTGTTTTATTTATTTATTATTAGTTTGTATTATGCAATTTGGGTCCCACTCCATGCAAAGTTGACTGGGCCATAGATTCCCCTCTTCTCCCACATTTGCTTTCATTGGCACTAATCAATGGTCTATGTCCCATTAATAGAAGAATCTTTTTATGAAAAAAAAAAAATTAATTTGACATTTTATTTCCTTTTATCTGAATTAATTTCACTTCTTTAAATATGACCACATAATTTTTATTTTTAAAAATGTTTAAGTTTGTAAATTGAAGAAATTCTAAAAAAGAAAGAGTTCTAGCATTAGTCATAAGAGCCCCAATGTCATCTCATGGGGCAATGTTTCAATTAAAGTTTTAATTTGATTTTTTATGGACAACCTCCTAATGAAACTCTTCCAATTTTCAGATCTTCCATAATTTATTATGCAATTAAATCTTTGGATATATTGATTAAAGAAAAAAAAGGCTTTTCTTACTCATTGATTATCATCTAAGGTTTTTCTAAAAGACACTAGGAAGTATGAAGAAGTAGAAATTTAAATTTTTTTTGTATAGTTTTTTTGGGATCCACATAAAATAACATTTCCAAAAACTTAGCCCCATTAGCATCACAAAGTTAAACTTGCACTTCCCTTACATATATTAATAGTCCTTCTAGTACCATGGAATTTAAGCTTGGTAAAATTCCTTTAGGACCACGGTGATTAGTATATCTATATGGCAGCAACCGTCTCACCTTTGGTGGAGACACCGGATCTGGCAGCGGACGAGGCTGCGGCAGCTTGTTTCTTGGATGCTATCGAACATTTCTCCTTTTTCTCGTCTTGATTCATCTGCTGTTGCCTGCACTCTAGGCTGCAAAATGCACTATCACCCCTGCAACAAATAAATAAAGTTACATCATTACAAAGTTAATTTTATACTGCAATAATTAATCAGGAAATAGATTTAACTCGGATTTTTCAGCAAATTAACGTATTAAATTCTGGATTTATTTTATTTTAGTGTATGGTAAGCTGGTAAAGATCAGATAAAGATGAACTATGGGATTCATTTGGTAATTAGCATACAGGGTTTTAATTATAAAGGAAAGGCATTAATTTTGGAAACCTGAAAATTTCTCAAAAATAATAAGTTTCCGAAAGAAGATCTAGAAAATTTCAAATATATGAAGAGAAACTGAGAATGAAGGCAAATAATTTACATAGAGTTCTGGACTCTATTTCGATGAGCAGATTCATATTCTGGAGTTTAATATAAAAAAAAAAATAAAAGAAAAAAAACCGCATGCAGTAACAAATAAAGACGAGAACCGGGGAAGAATCCGTGTAAGTTAACTTGAAATTCCCTCCTATGTCAAAACAAAAAATATCATTAGCAAATAGAAAAATCAAAACTGAAAATAAAACAAAAACTTGTCCATAGCAAATTGTCTTTGAGAAAAAGAAACCCCAAGAACCCTAAACAAGAATACCCACAAAAAGAAAAAAAACTAACGAACTCAATTTTTTACCCCAAATAATCAAATTTAAAAATCTAAAAAATTAAACAAAAACCAGACTAATTAAAAGCTCCTAAAACAATATCCAGACTTGGTCCAGAAATTCTTATTTAGGATTCTGAACTTCTTCTTCTTATTAAATTTTCTCACTTAATGTACCAAAAAGATATATATTTTAATCAAAATATACCATTTAAAAAAAGAAAGAAAGAAAAGGAGGACGGAAAATAGTTTGAGAGAAAAAAAAAAAATACCTATACATGTAGATATCACGGCCAGGAACAAGGCGACGTCTGCAAAGACCGCAAGACCTTAAAAAATGAGGGGTTTCCATAAAATCAGCTGAATACCTTCTATTAACTCTAGGTGACACCGTCGCCAACAACCGTTGATCCAACTCTTCAAGGCCGCTACCTACACCACCACCAGAAACAGCTGCTGCTACACCACCACCATTAGCCTGTACCTGTTGACCCCAAACGCCACCAAAAAGACCAGCTGCAGCCTGTGTTGGGTAGTCATTGAAAGGGTTGTGTGGATCAGACGGTGGAGCTTCATCATTGGTTGTGTTTAGATCAAAGGTGATCTTTGTCATGCTTGTTGTTCTCTTCATTGGTGGCCTTGGCCTCTTTCCCAGCAACATCTTCTTCTTCTTCTTTCTTTTTTTTACGCTACTCCTCGAAAGGTTTCCAAGTAGCAGCTTGAGACAGCAGAGAAGGAAAGAGGAAAAAGAGAGAGAATTGAAGAAGAAATGGAGATGGGGCAGATAAAAGAAGAGCCAGAACCGAGGAATGAATCTGAGCCGTTCATTCTTTTTTTTTTTTTTTTCCAGTTGTGGGTATTTGCATCACATCATGCAAATCCCCGTCATACTATATAGTATTCAATTAATACTACGTATTTAACTATTTTTATTTAAACTAAATGATATAGTTAGCTTAGGATACTCTCTGATTCTCCAATGACAACAGTCCATTTCTTTTAGATTTAACTGCCAATTATTTGTTGACACATCAGCATTTTTTTTCCTTATTTTGGGCGGAGAGTTTTTTTGGAGCCTCCTCAATTCACTAAGCAAAAAAAATTGTAAGCCATCATTCAACTTTCTTGACATGAAGTAAATTATTGCAGCAATGTTGGAAGAAAAATTCTTACTCTATACATGTAAGGAAAGTTATCATTTTATGTTCAAATTAGAAAGCAAACTCACCTTGAGAAAATTGTTTCACTATTTTTTTTTACCAAAATCTACACTTGATTTTGTGAAATTTTAAGAAATTAGTCATTAGTACAAATTTAAAAAATTAATTCATTTCTTAAAAAAGGTTAGTTATACTAAAATAAAAAAGGGCAATAACTTTAAGGAAAGTTGCTTAATACATAAGTATTATACATACTATGACATAATACGTAATCTCAATTAACCATTGGATGCTTCACAAGTATAAAATTGATGTGTATCTTGGGTTTCAAAAATATAGAACACTCCTTTTGAAAATCAGCTTTAAACTTTTATAAAAGGAATTGATACATTACTTAACTCCCAAATCTAAACTTTCGCTTTTCATTTTTTACTTCTCTAAAAAATTTGAAGGTTACTGAAAATTTAGAAGAAAGATTCTCTTTACTACTTAAAAAGTAGTAAAAGTTTTTATTATTTTATCTAAAGGTAAATAATGCACTTTCAATTAAATTTGGTTATATTTAATGATTTTAAATTAAATATTAAAATAAATTAAATTAATTAAAAAATAAAAATAATTTAAACAAATATCAATTATAAATTTATGTGAAAATGCATTATTTATCTTTAGATAAAATAATAAAAACTTTCATTATTTTTTAAATAATAAAAAGATCCTTTCCTGAAAATTTAAGAATAAATTCTAATACAGCATATATTTTTTAATTTGGTATAAGAAGTAGGTAATTTTATATGATCTTAATTAATTTAGACAAAAAATATAAAAAAGATCATTTATTAAGATTTCAATAAAATCCAATCACAAAATATTTTTTTTGATACAATGAAAATAGTATAATCAGGACTCTCGAAGAAAACATTAAATAAACTCTAAATGTCATTGGATGAATATGAAAATCCAATACAAAGTTACCCCAATTTGTTTCATGAAGTAAGATGAAAAGCTAAAAAAAAAAAACAAAAAAGCTAAAAACCGTATATATAATAGTGAGACAGAAAATCTTCACAGTTATTAAAGACATAAATGTATCGCATTCACATTCACAGTAAGCAAAATCATCTGCAGTGTACCAGCTTAAGTCCAACAAATGTTCTCTCTTTCTCTCTCTCTCTCTGTATATTTAACTCTTCCTTGAAAATTTCAACTTCCAATGCCAGATAGGCTGCTGCTGCAGCTGCCACAATAGTATCCTCTCTGCTAGATATCTGTATAATAGTTGTACACAGTCTAGAATATTTTATGGGGAAGTACATCTCACGGAAGCTGGTGAGAAGTAAAATTCTTCAAAGTTTTTTAGTAATTTGTGTTTCCATTTTTCATTTTATCTATACCTTGTTTGCACTTTACATTACCCAAAAAAAGTTCTTTTGTTTATTATTATTATTATTATTATTATTTTATTATTACTATTATTATTTTAAAGTAGGAGTGACATTCAAACATGTTACCAATGTGGAACTTCAGATTTGGTAAAAAAATGCCTCTCTTCGGAGACCATGTTGTCTTTATTTGAATGAATTACCATCTCATGATTGCAACCTTTTTTTGGTTATAGTGTCCATAAATTTGATGTGCTTAGAATTACAATTTCATGATCACAAACATTTTAATTGTTTGTAAATTTGAGCATCAGTCGGTAGCATATTTTTGTTTGTAATAAAGTAAGGATATCTTGGAGTTTTGCTTGAACTAATTTAATCCTTTTTAAGAAGAATATTAAGAGCTTATTCTCTCACGTCAAGTCATTCACTTGACATATTAATCAAAAATTTATTTTTAAAGTCCTTTATGCAAGAATTAAATCCTAGTTAGGAAAGAAAAAGATTTTTTTTCTTACCAATTGAACTAAATCCTATATGCTGGTAGAAATTTTTTTTTTTTTTTTTTATAAAGACTTGGCAATTACATTTATATGCCGTTCTTTTCTTTTGCTATAAAATGAGGGTTAAATAAAAAAAAACAAGTGGTAGTAAATCGTGGCACGTTTCAATTGGAACAAAGTGCTTTATATATATATATATATATATATAAAAGATGTGTGAGAACTTGAGATAAAACAAAATCGCTCGGACAGGAATAAAAGATGCCTTCTCCTTTATTCATTGAAGAGAAAAAAAAAAAGAGTGGGAGTAGGAGTGGGAGTGAGAGTGGGGTAAAAGGAAAGAAAACCAGCAGAAATAAGAAAAAGTTAGGGATTCTGTATTTATGTACAATGTAAAACCTGAAATCCAGCTCGACCAAGTGATTAATGGATCTCCCAAGCTGATGAGTCATACTTTTTCATGTCTTATGCAAATCCATGGTTATATATCGTGTATTATGGAATATTAATCTTTTATGGTACAAGGAGATAGTTAAAACTTTAAAGCAAAGAGGGCAATAGCTGTGACTGTGAAGTATATTTGATCAAGGCCAAGGTTTATCAGTTATCAGCATTTCTTAAATACTTTCATATTTGGACAAATTTATGACCTTTAGTCAATGTAATAATATATAGATTCATAAATTTATAATTAAATTTAATAAGAAGAGTTACCACTAATATTTTATTTAGGTGTGATTGATCATTTAATAAATCTATCATTTTATAGAGTTCTTAAGCTTGACTAAAGATTTTTTAAAAATAATTTTTTGTCTATTAATCAAAATAAGGTTCGAAAGTTCAAAAGTTCGGTTATATATAAGAAAGGTTATATCACCCCCACATATCTATCTAATGGATGATACCATTTTATTTTAAATTATTCTAAGATAATGATTCTAATAGTCATAAATTTTAATGTTGAATATTGAAAATAATTTTTAAAATTCTTCATCAATCTGAAAAAATTTTTAAAAATATTGCTTCACCTCAAGAGTATTTAAGATTTCTATTTATTTTTTTGAAGAAGCTCTATCATTGAAAAAATGTTTAATCATTTTTTTATTTAAAATATGTCTAATTCTTTCATTATTTAGGCCAAAATTAGAAATATTTTTTCACATAAAAATATCTTAGATAATTATCTATTGGTAATTACTAAAAATTTCATTCTCAGAATTTATTTTTTATTTTACAAGTATTATTTCAAAATTTTCAATCATTTGGATCAATTTAGAAATTTTCTTTTTTGATTTTTAAAATTTTCACCATATAGCTCTATTTAGAAATTTTTTGTATCTTTGTAAAGAAAATAATATAACAGTTATTTTTTTTTTTAAGTTTCATTTAAATTCTTCCTCCATTTAGGACAAATTTAGAAAAATTTTCTCACTTAGAGATTTCTTAAGAAATTTATCATTTGAAATTTTTAAGAATCTCATTATTAAATAATTGTTAAATATTTCCAACTAAAATTTTTATTTTTTTTATTTTTTTAAATTAAAAATAAATATTTATTATTATTATTATTATTATTAAAATTTTATCTAAATTATTTCATCATTTGAGATAAATTTAGAAAACTTTTTCACTTAAAAATATTATAAAAATTAAACTTTTGCAATTTCTAAAAATTTCATCATTCAATAATTAATATTTGTTTTTAAAAAATTTAGCTAATGAATTTATTATTTTATGGAGCTCTAAGCTTGACTAAGGGTTTCTAAAAAATAAGTTTTTGTCTATTAATCAAAATAAGGTTCGAAAGTTCAAAAGTTCAGTTATATATAAAGAAAGTTATAGCACCCTCACATGCCTATCCAATGGATGATACCATTTTATTTTAAATTATCCTAAGGTAGTGATTCTAATAGTCGTAAATTTTAATATTGAATATTAAAAATAACTTTTAAAATTCTTCATCAATCTGGTAGAATTCTTAAAAATATTTTTTCACCTCAAGAGTATTCAAGAATTTTATTTATTTTCTTGAAAAGGCTCCGTCGTCAGAAAAAAGGTTTAATCATTTTTTTATTTTGATTTTTTATTTAAAATATATCTAATTTTTCCATTATTTGGGTCAAAATTAAAAATATCTTAGATAATCATCTATTTGTGAATACTAAATATTTTCTTCTCAAAATTTATTTTTTATTATTTTATAAGTTTTATTTCTAAATTTTCAACAATTTGGGTTAATTTAGAAATTTTTTTTATTTTTAAAATTTTTACCATTTGGGTCTATTTAGAAATTTTTTTTTATCTTTGTAAAGAAAATAATATGACAGTTATTTTTTTTTAAAGTTTCATTTAAATTCTTCCTCCATTTAGGATAAATTAAGAAAAATTTCTCACTTGGAGATTTTTTAAGAAATTTATCATTTAAAATTTTTAAGAATCTCATCATTAAATAATTGTTAAATATTTCCAACCAAAATTTTTTAGTTTTTTATTTTTTTTAATTTTTTTAAATTAAAAATAAATATTAATTATTATTATTATTATTGAAACTTTATCTAAATTATTTCATCATTTGGGACAAATTTAAAAAAATTTCTTACTTAAGAATTTTATAGAAATTAACATTTTGCAAATTCTAAAAATTTCATTATTGGATAATTAATATTTATTTTTTAAAAAAAATTTATTAATGTTTTATATTTTTAATTTTTTTCTAATTTTTTCTAAATTTAATCATACAAAAATACTTTGAAAATAATCAAACAA